CCTAGGTTTCAGTAGGCAGTGATTTCGTACCTGTTGATCCTTATCTGGATCCTATCTAAACTGCTCCAGAGAAAGTTAAGGTCACCATATAAGTTACCATACCTATACATCCTGGTAAGAAGTTACCACTGGCATAGTACAGAAAGCCCAGGGTTAACCCTGAACTTAGCTGGATGAGCCAGAATGCTGCTTTGTACTATAGCCTTCTGACCTCAACATAATTAAAATACTGTAGGGCTGTGTATAAACAAAAGCCTGCAAATCTCAATTAACTGAAGCAACACTGTAAAGAAGAGTGTGCCAAAAGTCCTCCACAATAACGTGAGAGACTGATAAAGTCATACAGAAAATTATTACTCCAAGTTATTGCTGCTAAACATGTTTTTTAAGCTACTGAATCATGAACTGTGCTTGCTTTTGAAATGGTTATGTGTTCTAAGAATTAAAAAAAAAAGTAATAGTGACCACTTTTATTCTTATATTGCTTTCTAATTAGCCTAATAAATTCATGTAAATCACAGAATCAGGCGTAGCGGTCTTCTGAAAAAGGCAATTAATAATCCAACACTATATTATATATAGAATTATATAGAGGTTTAACTATATACCTTTGCATATCTCTGCTTTGTGCAACGTGTTTTCTGCGAATAAGCTTCAGGTGCAAGTGTTGTGAGGTTGTACTGTGAATCCATTCCACCACAAAACTTGATTTCTAACAAATTCGACTTTTATTTTGAAGGTTACGCATGGCAGCGTCGGTTGCAGCCGGTACTGCAGCCTGTTGAATGGAGGCAGCGGGAAGAGGCAGTTGTTCTCGCTTCCAGTTATCAGAGAACCTGTGTGAGCTCCGTTTCTCAGTATGAGTTCTTAAGCGGAGGAAGTGTTTGTTTTTTTAGAACGGAAACCCAAGCGATGCGCACACACAGCTGCCGCTGATGACAAGAAGCGGCACATTTTATTGAGTCGCCTAAAGACCGCGGCTGTGTTTATTACTCAGAGCAGCAGCAAAAGGTGAAGCGAGTTTGCAGAGGTGAGTCCACGCACGAATACCACGAGGCTTATATCCTGTCAAGATGTTAACGCAGAACAGCGGCCAAACTCTGTGGCGTGTTTCTTATTCTTTTACTGTGTTTTTGTGACCGGACGCGTTTCATATCCTCTCGAGCTGGAATTCACTAAAAAGTAACTTACGAAGAAGAGATCCTTGAAAATAGAAGTGAAAACCCCCTTTTAGGTCAAATAGATACAGCCCACTGAAAAGGGGAGAGTGCAGATACCTGCTGGTAGTTACGTGTGTGGAATGACCCACAGAACTTCATGTAAATAGGTATGCAGTCACACTCAGTTCAGCTCTTTACGTATAGTTACATGTAATGACTCTGGGGAGGCGTCGTGGATCTTATACCAGTAATTCTGTATGCTAACTTAAAGCATAAGATCGATAACTGCACCGCATACTTACCCAGTGTTTGTTTTTGGATCGGTAGATGTATTTATAACTGTCATTGTTGTGTTGGTATATACGTTTTTAACCGTTCATGAGGCGATTTTTCTTGATACCAGTTGTACTTGTCAGTGACATGAAGCGGATGGAGGAAACAGTAATACGTTATTTCATTCTTGGAACACGAAGGCAGATTAGTGAAATGATTATGATCTTACTTATGGCCGATTAGACTTCTCAGAGCATTATTTAATGATCTTATTGTTGCAGCTCTAGATAGACTGAGTAATTTTCAAGTGCATTTATGTGAGTTCCTCAAATATCTGGGGATCGACCTGTCACAGAGACCTACGGTTTTTTTTAGGATGCCAAGATAACTTTACCAAGTTAGGCCTATAAATAGCTCAAAGTTTGCGGATGTCAAGCAAGTGACTACTGTCACCTGTTACTTTGTAACCAGAATTGTTTAACACCATGTAACTTCAAAGTCAAAGAAAATAATGTATTGTGTGTATAATATGGCCTGAGGTAAGAGGGCCATTTATGGGGCAAGGATCAGCAGAGGCAGGCTTGGCCTTGCAGTGTGGTGATAGTCTGTAGGTAGTATACAGAGCTTTGTAGATCCTGTTACTTTTTACTGTCTGACTGGCAGGACGTTGGTACAGGGAGAACTCACTTGGCTATTGGTTGCTTGGAGAAATTCCAGTTTGACAAATGCCCTCATGGGTTTTTGCAGACTCTGTACTGTGCACTCTTACACTTCAGTTTATTACATTAGGATTAGGGGCTCACTAATTGGCACTTGGCTGATTTCTTTCTATTTTTTTTTTTATTTTTTATTCAAAGGGCACTGATGAACAGCCCTCAGCCAGTGTCTCCCAAAGTATACAATAGCATAGAAGTCTGTGAACAGTTGAATCTAATTACAAATTTGTCATCAGATATTACAATTGTTTGTTTGTTAGAATTTCAAACACCATAAAACTACCAGAGGGGTCATTTTAACCCATCCTACAACAAGATGAAAATTAGGTTGTTAATTTTCATCTAATTTTAAAAATTATTAATAAGAGCTAACAAAGTAAATGTGTAAGATTTTGCTTCATTAGGTTTTGTTTTACGAATTGTTTTATTTTGATATACTGATTTTTTTTTAAATTATTATTTTATTAGAATTATTATTAGAATCAATAGAGTTCAACAAACAACACAATAGTTTACACACCTGAATAATGTAACTATTTTAGGAGAAGATGATCAATGAAAAGTTAATTTTTGATATTGGTTACCCTACTATATAAAAAGAGCACTCACTGTGAAACATTGAACAGGTCTTTGCCTGTACAGGTGCTGGTCATAGAATTAGAATATCAAAAAGTGAAACTTGTATAATGTATACATTCATTCCACACAGACTGATATATTTTAAGTGTTTATTTCTTTTAATTTTGATGATTAAAACTGACAACTAATGAAAACCCCAAATTCAGTATCTCAGAAAACAACAACAACAAACTTTATTTATATAGCACATTTAAAAAACAGTGGTGTACCAAAGTGCTTAACATGCAAGAGAGTAGGATGAAGTAACAGGGAAGGATGAGGGCTATGGCAAGGTGCCAAAACATGCTAGCAGGTTGAATGGCATTAAAACACAAAAGCAAAAGAATTGCATATAAAGCATAGAAGGAAACTAAGTGTAAAGGATAAAACAGTCAAAAAAAATTAAAAATGATTAAAAGTAATTAAGAATAAGCCGAAGATAAGAATAAGCATTAAGCTAACTGACAAGCAGGCGTTAACTGGTAGAAAAGGCGAGGCTAAATAAGTGGGTTTTTAACCGCGATTTGAAGGAATGGATGGAATCAGACTTGTGTATAGCGATGGGGAGGTTATTCCATAAATTAGGTGCAGCCAAGGCAAACGCGCGGTCACCTCTAGTCTTCAGCCAGGATCTCGGGAGTACCAAGAGTGACTGGGAAGATGATCTTAGTGCTCTAGTAGGGGTGTATAATCTAAGAAAAGTAGAATATTACTTAAGACCAATACAAAGAAAGGATTTTTAGAAATCTTGGTTATCTGTAAAGTATGAACATGAAAAGTATGAGCATGTACAGCACTCAATACTTAGTCAGGGCTCCTTTTGCCTGAATTATCATGAATCCTTTTGCCTGCACCAGTGCAGCATGGCATGGATTTGATCAGTCTGTGGCACTGCTCAGTTGTCATGAGAGTCCAGGTTGCTCTCATGACACCATGAGAGCAACCATCTATCATGGTCCTTAAACCAGCTACTGGTAGCTTTGGCACTGTGTGCATCTCCATAAAGCTGGTCAGCAGCATGAAGTGCTCTAAAACTTCCTGGTATACGGCTGTGTTGACCTTGGACCTCAGAAAACACAGTGGAGCAACACCAGCAGATGACACCCCAAACCATCACTGGCTGTGGAAACTTTACACTGGACCTCAAGCAACGTGGATTCTGTGCCTCTCCTCTCTTCGACCACATCTTTTCCTTCCCCTCGCTTCTCTACTAATTTACTTGGACACTTATATCAGTCTGTGTGGAATAATTGTATACATTATACAAGTTTCACTTTTTGAATGGAATTAGTGAAATACATCAACTTTTTGATGATATTCTAATTATATGACCAGCACCTGTATTTTAAAATTGACCTCACAGTTAATTTTTAAAGAATAAGAAACTCAATTTAATGAAGTATTGTAAAGTACAGCAATCATAGTAACATAAATTAAGCTTCAGTCTACATCCCTGCAATTCATCAAGCCTGAAACCAAATAGTTAAATCTGCTCTGCATTTAACTCTTTGCTCTCTTTTCTTGGATTGGTACTCCATACTCTGGACTAGTAGCCCTCATATTAGACTTGTGTTTCTAGACCAGGGGTCCCCAATCCCAGTCCGCGAGGGCCGGTGTCCCTGCAGGTTTTAGATCTCACCCTGGGTCAACACACCTGAATCACATAATTAGTTCATTACCAGGCCTCTGGAGAACTTCAGGACATGTTGAGAAGGTAATTTATCCATTTAAATCAGCTGTGATGGATCAAGGACACATCTAAAACCTGCAGGGACACCGGCCCTCGTGGACTGGGATTGGGGACCCCTGTTCTAGACAATCTGTCCACAGCTGTTGTTTGCATTAATTTCTATATGGTCAAAATGAAATCATTGGGGGTTATAAGTATTAAGGTTTTTTGTTTTTGTTTTCCTTTTTATCCCTCAAACCCCAAAATTTGCTATATGATGAATAAAATCATTTTAGGAAAAGTTATAAGAGATAATGGTGTTTTAATTTAAGTTACGTGACATTTAAAATGCAATAGGTTCAAAATGACCCCCATTGGTGTTATACAGTCTCAATCAAATATTTAAGACCACTTGAAAAATGGCAAAAAATTATATTTGGCATGTTTGGATCTTAACAAGGTTCCAAGTAGAGTTTCAACATGTAACAAGAAGAAATGGAAGTGAGAAAAAACATTTTTGGGGCATGCAATTTATTGAAAACAACGCTTAAACTGAAACCGGCTGTTTTACAGCTGATCAAATGTTTAGGACCACACCTCCAAAAAAAACCCCGTAAACCCCCACAAAACAGAAATCGAAGTTCCAAAAATGAACTCAGAAATGAGTAGCTCCACTGTTATTGTTGATAATTTTAAATATTTGTTGCGGTGTGCTTGATGCAAGTGTTTCTATGAGGTGAGTGGGAACATTTCTCCAAGTGGTGAAGACGACCGCAAGAAGGGCATCTACTGTCCGGAACTGTTGTCCATTTTTATAAACTTCCCTTGCCATCCATCCCCAAAGGTTCTCAATTGGATTGTTTTACCTGCCTAAGAACATCTGTGATATCAGGCAGGTACGTAGTTCTTCTCTCGGTATTGGTGCAATATACTTCCACATTCACTGCATGTAGTTGGGGGAATTCCCTCAAACTGTATCTACAAAGGCTGCCTTGTTATGTCTGTAAAAAGTGGAACATGTAGCTTACTTAGATGAAGTTAATTTACCTGTTTTATTTACAACTGGAGCACTGGCTCAATAACTTTTACACATTATGAGCAAAGTCAATTGGCCACTCTAAAAGTGAACAAGTTCCATACTGTGTATTTATTTGTATATATAATAGAACACTTTTAGAATTAGAGCAAGAGAATTATCTCATAGTTAATCAGATAGTTTTCCCAAATTGGGGGGGAAAAGGAAGACACATCACAAAACAAACTTGGTTGCCCTTTAATATACTACACAAAGCTTTATTTTCTGTGCTTCTGATAACTTGGTGTGATATTTCATTGCTGATCAGAGGTGGTAGACTGCCACTGCTTATTTCTATCTACTGGCAGATGTTGTGCAGCTTCAGTTAAAGAGTTTAAGAGATCTGTAACAGATTTTTGACACAAATAAATGTTACTCTGCTAAGTTAAAACTGTATTTATGTTACAGATGGGAAGGAGTGATAATGTTTTTCTGTCTAGCTCCAACATTAACGTTATATATTGGTGTCTCTTCATTGGCTCCAGATTCAAATTGAAACTCCTACTCCTTACATACAAG